AATTATGTATAATTTTCTTCATTTGGAGATTACGAAGAGGTGTAAATCAGCTCATTACTTTGATTCATGAACACACACACACACACACCCTCCCCCATAAAAACCAGCATGCCGCTGAAGTGTGAAGAATGAAAATACAGCAGTTTTATAGTCCCACTGCAGTAACAAGGAGACGTCTCCCCGTCATTACTATGCTATAGATTTTAACCAGAAATGACATGCAGTCAAAAATATGAAGCAGGGTGCAAAGAAAAAGAAAAATACGATTTTGAAATAAATCACTCGTCAGAGCTGAAAATGCAGACTGAATAACAAATAGGTTGAACAAATATTAACAAATATGATTTTCACGCCTTCGATTTATTTTATTTTACTTCCCTCTTTAATTATCATACCTAAGCTGCTCTTAAATGCCCAGTCTACTGCATAATTGGCCTGCAGAGACTGTATTATTCTTTAATGCTTCTTTACTGATACTTTATATCTAGTCATCATTGTAGCCTGTGAAAGATCCTTTATTACTAAAATTATTTGAGTCAATCAGGTGTCTAAAAATGCTGTACAAGTATTTTTTTTTTTTCACTGCGGTACGATCATGTACATTTCTTTGCCTATTTTTTATTTTTTTAATTCCCACTTCAATATAAATAACATTGCTCATGCCCATCACCTTATAATAATGCAAGTTTTGACATACATTGGTGTAAGCAAACTAAGCATCAGTGTATATCAGGGTTCATTCTTCTGGATTACAAAATCTTTTGAAGCTTTATCTAAAAGTTACATTCAACAAACACAGAAATCAGCAAAGACAGATCCTGGTTTAAACAATAACAATGAAAAAAGGGTCATTTTAATTATCAGTGTTGATCATTTTCATCTGGCAAACTCAAACAGCTTAAAGAAGTGAGTACACGGAGGATGAAGGGTGTAAAATGAACCCTGATTCATTATGAACATTAGCTCTGCTTGTGCAGCGCAAAAACAACAGCAATGTGTTTTTATTTGTCTCCCTCTTTATCACTTGGAGCGAGATCTCAAAACACGGAACCCACGGTGGCTTCACTGTCTTGCTAAGCAACATATCCGACAGCATCTCTTCAAAAGACTTTGCAGCTTCGCAGGAGAGCTTCATATCAGCAATCCAGAGGGCTGACAGAAAGGCGATTCCTACAGAGCAAGAATAAAACTTGGAGAAGCTGTCATGACAAAGTCAAGAGAGAAAACACACGTCGACGTGTTGTACTGATGACGCAATTCTCGCATCTCTTCGGCCTTGTGACTGTACATCTGCTCTGCTCATAGCGCTGATGGGCTTCATGTTAAAGTTCGTCTTCATCTTCCTCTTGCACAGTTCCTGTTTTGCCAGCAGTGATCCTGCTTTTTCCCTTCCTCTCTGTTGTAAACTCCCAACTCACATGCACACACACTCACAAATACTCTACCAGACAACCTATTTGTCTCAGTTATAAAGGGGCAGCGACCTTTATCTTCCCCGTGTCCAAATTGTCCTCTGCTACCTTTTTGTAACTGGTTTCTCAAATACTAACAAATTATATTGAAACTCCAGTCTGGGTTACCTCTCCCTGTGCATTCAGTGATCAATCTCTCCAAGACGTTGGGAGTAAATGAAAGCCTGGTTGTGCTTATGCATCAATATGCAAAGAAACAAGTCAGCAAGTGAAGATGTGGATGTTTCTACACACTTTAAAATGCAATCACCGCTGTAATGATGGATTTTTTTTTTTCAGCAGGATTTTTTGAAAAAAATAAAATAAAATTAGCTCTTGGAGCAAAATATTTCATCTCGAATTAGAACAGTGACAGGAGAAAAAGGGGAGATGGCACAATGTTTTAAAAAGAGTGGCGAGCCAAACAGGCATAAATGATGCATGTTTGGTGCGGAGATTCGCTGAAAGGAGGCTTTACACGGGCGTCTAAAAGTTGTGGGAGGGGGTGGATCCAGATGGGGAGGCTGAGCCACACCCTGCCCTTCCCCCATCCCTACTGAATAACAATGACTGAACAACAAAGCCAATCTCTGCACGTAGCACACCAGGGCAAAGACAAAGACACACTGAGGACAGCAATTTATTTTGGATGCACAGGGGGAGAGGGGAGGCGCGCTTCCAGGTGTGAATGTGTGCACAGCGAGGCCGAAGAGCGCTAAAAGAGAACATGCATGCTCAGCAAAACCTTTTTCCTCCATGAATGAAATGAAAAGGTGGGGGCACGAATGCACATATTAAGCAACCGGAGCAAGTTGGAAGTAAAAATAAAATGTCAGGTGCTTCCACCGCAGAACAACACCTGCTAACACGAATCCTCCTAAGTGATCAGTGAGCCGATGCTGGTGTTTTGACTGGCAGCTCTGAAGAGGCTGTCATCTCAAAGTGCTGCTGATAAACGATGACAACATTTAATTCCCACTGTGAGAGTGAGTCGAGACAGGCCGCTCTAATACTCAACACCCGCGCTATTATTTGAGCAATTTTTTTCTACACGTCACCAGGTTCATCAACTAATGAATTGACAATCTGGTGCTTTGCAGGCATCCCGTGTCCTGCGCAAGTATGATTTAGTGCCTTTCTGCAGCCTCGGAGGCACGCAGCGGGGCAAACGGGATTTCAGTCTGAAAACAGCGAAAGTAAGAGAGGGAGGGAAAGGAAAGGCAAATCCTTTGAAGACAAAAACAAACAGTGGATTTAGAAGTGTTAAAACTAATTTTCTGCATCTTGACAAAAACAGCGAAGCTGCCAAAACGGTGACGACGGCAGTTTGTTTTGGTAAAAGGAGATCAGTGTTTGGACAAATCTTACAAGAAACATTAACATTCTTTGTTACTTCTGTTAAATATAAATCAAATAATAGTGCTGTGTCCAAACACTGAGCAATATTTTTGTTGGAAAGACTACACTGCGTCCCATGGCAAACAGCATAAAAATGCTGTTAAAATATCCACATACGATGCATACAGGGGCCTAAACGTGGTTTAAAAGGTGCAAGCAGGGATTTCTCTGTCCAGGTACAAGTATTACATTCCCACACCAATCAAAATTTCTTTTTAAATGATTGGTGTCAAAGTTACTGACTAAAGTGAACTGTTGCTGGTGGATTACTGTCTTTGAATGAGCTATATGGCTGCAACTTCTGCTATCATTTTTTTTATCTGTCTTTTGTGCTTTCCCCTCAGTGTTTGCTGCATACAACAATTTTCACAGTGAAACTGTGCTAGTTGCTGCAGCCCCCCCATGTATCTGTGCTGGCTGTGCCAGCATATCCACAGACAGGAGACAGAGCTATATAGAGAGTTTCTGTAACGTTATTTATCAATGTGTTACAATGTTTAAAACAGAAACAGTAAGTTCATGAAGCAGCACAATGTTTTCTGTGAGCTTTGTCTGCAGACAGTTAATTTTGAAGATGATACATTATTTTACAAGTCAAATTATCAACCAATGTCAAAGCAAAAAGTAAATGGCTAAACAACAGAAAGCTGTGCATGTCTCAGGTGATGCATTGTCAAAATGTAATAGTAGCTTTCTTGACCTAGTGAACTTGTGTACGAGCAGCATTTCGAGGCTAAATTTGGACAATATCTCTTTTATAGAGAAATGCAGAGACAGTCGCATTCATATGTACACTGAAATATGACTTGAGTGCGGTACAATCACAAATAGGCCTAAACTAATGTAGAGCATGCAATACTGGTTAAATGTTGTGTATTATTCTCCACTATTATTTTTGAACTAAAAGACAAAAACTGGTGGACATAAAATAGTCATAAATAGTTGTTCATGGATGTAAAGTGTGTGGAGAGCCCTTCCAGGCAAAATGTCCAACTCTTAACCCATTTTTTTTTCAGATTACAAAGATAAACAATGGAGGGAAATTATTTTAATGGGGGTACTTCAAAACATTTGTCATTTAATGAGCTTTAACCACGAATCCTTCATTGTCTTAACTTGCCTCTTAAAAAAAAATAAAATAGATAAATCAGTGTAGAAGGCAGCTAAAGTGTCTAATCTAAACTCTAATCAGGAAGGTGTTTATTCTGGTACACTACTGACAAATACTGTTTGTTTCACAAAGCTACAGAAATGATATTTGTGACAGAGAACAGCAGCATGTCTGTGTACAGTGTGCCGGTACTGTGTATGTTACTGCCTCTACTTTATGTAAATCAGCCCGGTTATTCTTATTCTCTGTGGCCTGAACTCTGTCACTAAATTTTGATTGGCTGCTTGAGTTTTCTTTTGTTTATTTTTGCCATTTCTTCCCTGCTGCTCCAGCTGTACTGTGCATATTCAGATATTTTCTCTCCTGACCAGAACACTTTGATGCAGCCAAACAGCACAGAGAAGCTGCAGGCTCACAACAAAGTTGACCCTGTCTGAAACAGAAGCGAAGATGAAGTCGGCGCCGCATACAAATGTGACTGGATTTTCCGCAGCTATTCTGTATTAACATAAAAGCGCCTGGAAAATTAAAATGGGAACTGTAGAACGAGCAAAATGACATATTGTTTTCATAAACAAGGACGGGAGATTAGGCAAATGTGGGACAAAGGTATAAATAGAAGAAAAGATTAGGGGTGTTTGTAGTTTACTGAAACACACAGTTGTTTTAGCTTTAACTTACGGCTAAACAACGGTTATATTTTTTGCTAGCTCAGCAAAAGCTAATAAAAAAATCTGTAGCAAGTCTATGAATCAGAAATATGCTGCTTTAAAAGATATAGATTAAATATAAAGTTGCCAATAATAATAATAATAAAACAAGTTATTAATCCTTACAAAAAAATCCTTTTAGAAAAGGCATTTCAGAATGTTACAATTTGATGAGACAACTCTTCTGATTCTTCTATTTCTGAACAAAATGCACGGAAAGCAGACCTTTAGGAAAATTTGTCCCTGGAGAACAGCATATAAACCAGATTAGTCAAAAACAGGTAATACAAGCCCTAAGCTATTACAACGGTAGATGAGAGTAGACATTACCTCAGAAAAGTGAAGCAAATTCAATCAAGACATTCAAGAAACCTGCAACAGATGTGGAGGGGTTTATTAGGCCACTTCGTTTCATTATTTTTGGTAATACAGAATATCCATACACAAGGTTCTTCTAATTAGACTGGAACTTGATCGCAGGGTCTTCTTTCTAGGATTTTACTCAAAGTGAAACCAAATTAAAAGAGTAAATAGGATAATTGCACTTACCTGGGAATTTATGGATAAACCCTGTATCACAGAAGGGTTTGAGGAACTAACTTCTTGCTTAACCCTGAAAAAAAAACCTCTGCTATTCTCAAAATCAGACATGATCTTTTCCATTAAGTATGGGGTTGTTTCATTATCTACATGAAGGACAACGATTATTCAGTGAGTGATGTGACTGAAGAGTTGTTGGTGCATCCAGCTTTTTTCTTTTCTCACTGACTTTGTGACCTGATTAGTTGTACGCCTTTATCTTTGTTTTTCTATGTTAACCAAATGTGTATTGCATGACTCCTGTTCCAATAATTATAGGTACCTGCACATTTGGACTATTTTTGTTCTGATGTTCTTTTCTTCTTCCCCATTTATGAAAAACTCAGACATATTTCTGAAAAACAAACAAACAAAAAAAGAAATAGAAAAACCGGTGTGCTGATAAGACAATTTAAAAACATCTACTAAAAAGCTTTCCTGGACTAAAATTAGACAAGATAAAAATAGTTTATTCAGAGTGCATCCCATCCCTCCTCCTGCACTTCATAGTCCAGTGATTAGTACTCGACAAAAGGATTAATCAAACCCTACTTTTCTTAACTGAACTTTGACTCCAAGTCTTGGACAGGCTCCTCTGCCTGAGCATGGACACTCATGCATAATGCAAGAAGTAGCAAATGGCTCATCAGTGGGGATGCCGAGTGAAACATGGCAGGCAGGGGAGAGCAGCAAAGAGGAGGAGTCACAGAGGGAGGTGCTGGGGAAAAAAAGGGAGAGAGACAAAGAGGGCATGGCTGAGGGAGCACAGGGTCACAGCAAGAAAAAGACCAGGAGCATAATAGTAGAATACGTACAAAAATACTGAGTTTATGACTCAAAGAAAAATAAATAAATAAATAAGAAGTGTAATGAAGGAAATGGCTTACAGGAAAAATGAAATCGAAATAAGAGCTGTGATTTACATGTTAGAGATAATAAAAGATAAAAATAGTGGTGAACTATTCTGTGAAGCTTGTATCCCGCATAGCAAAGTAATTATCCCTAGTGCACCAACCAAGCCAGAAACTTACTGTAATGTACAAGTTTTTCCAACTCTTATTCAGCAGAGCGCAATCCTCTTTTTAATACCGAGAGGACAACACAAAAAAGTAAAACACCTTAAAGCCGCACCACAGAAATCTGTTTTGTTGACGTTGGAAAGTCTGTGAGAGCACCAAATTATTATTTATGTCTTCCCTTCCTAGTCATATTCTTTTTATAAATGCCCAAAGAAGCCAAAATAAAATTTTTACTTAAAATGTACACATCTTCTCAAGATGTGTGTGCAATCCCTTCGACAATGCTCTGTAGGAACTATATAAAATAAGAAAAGAAAGCCAAATTATCAGTAGTGATCATTTATATTGCAGTTGTCAGCTAAAGCTACACAATCATGACAGATCTCATCACACACCTGTCACAGAGTGTAATGGAAGATTATCAGTTGTGATTGATGAAGAACAAAATCACAAATTTCTCATGAGTGCTAATTTTCATTTGGGGCATATGGGAATACAAAGTGAGCTTCTGAGTACGTCATGTCAGAATCACTCTTCTTCAGCATTTGTTTGTTACTTGGTTAAATTTTCCAGCTGGCAAGCTGAGGTCAACTCTGATTGGTATTTCCTTATTCCCTAATTCCCATCTATAATTCAGTATATGTTGGGAGAGTGGATGAGTAGATCAAAACTACTTAATCTTTGCAGAAGACATTATGATTACATCCTACCTTTGTGTAAAGCTGAATGGGTTTCATATGCACACATGTTCATACATTCATCATGGGCATGAATCAACTGAATTATATTTCAGTGCCTGTTTTGACCAGCTGTTTTCCCTCAAAAATTATATAAATACAATTTTGATCATTTTTAAAATATCAGAACAAAAATTACAAGTTATAGAGATGAACTGGGCATTGCTGGATTACAAGGGTTTAAGTTTACAGTAAAAGATATTTTGAGTCACTAAACTAAAAGGATGTTGACCAAGGGGAGAAGTGCCTGGATAAATGTTTTACAGTCAGATAAAACAAACGCTGAGCTATTTGGTCACATTTATGAAGAACTGTGTTTGGAGGCATCACGGTAAGGCTTCTTTAGCTTTCATGTTCAACAAATGGTTTTGCAATAAAATCACTCAGATATGGCACTCTACTTACACTGTGAATACACGTTCATAAACCTCTAATGAGGTCTATAATATCCTTCTCGCTTGGACGTTTTCAAAAGTGACACTAGTCTGGGCTGGAACTCACAGGGTTCATATAAAGGATGTACCACAGAGGGAACGGAAAAAACAATACAGTGACCGTTTGCTTCTTATTAGTTTTGGTTTCAAGCATCACTGCTACTGAAGGAACCAATCTTGGTTGAAGTTAAGCAAACTGTTCTGTCTCTGTGCACTTTAGCAAACCCTGTCCACTGTTAATCAGCACCAGTTCCACTGGGTTTTGGCATTAAATCGTCCAACCAGCTGGTCACACAGACCGTCCACATCCTTCAGCCACGATGCCAGCAAACCCTGACTTGATTCAGTCAGGACAACACTGCGACTACCTCTCTTGGCAGTTGAGAGGCAGAACAGCAGCGGGGTGACTTCAGACCCAAATGTCATGCCAATCCTTTCAGGAAGAACAAAATGGCAAAAAGGAATCCAAGTCCCAGGTGTTTTATATTAAAAAGGATTTCATACTGGGATGCACAGTGGTGCAAGTGGTAGCACTGTGCATGTGCCCATGCATGCATGGCTTCTTTGCAGGTACTCCCATAATCCAAAAATATGACTGTTAGGTTAATTGGATTTTCTAAATTACCCTTATGTGCAAGTACTGTTGTTTGTCTTGTAAGTCTCTGTGTTGCCCTGAGATATGTTGCCAACCTGTCTAGAGTGTGTCCTCCTTCGCACATGTGGACTCTGGAGATAGGCACTAGTTCCCTCGTGACCCTGCATGGACAAGCAGGTATAGACACAACATGGATGCACTTTCGAATAATTAAAAAATCTATGTTAATTTGGTGGCGGCAGTATCATCATCATGTGGGGTTTTACTGCCAGAGGTGGTGGCACATTGCACAGAAATTATGTGAAAATAAAGAAGGCCTACTTCAAATTGTTTTAACTACATCATCAGCTACAGGGTGAAACAGACATAAAAAAAAAAAAAACATCTTGAAAATCTGAACCAGGGTATATTTATGTAGAGTTTATTCCATTAAATCTAACAGTTCAGTTTCATCTTGCAGAGCTTCGACTAACTTGTAGAGATGCATGTAGACGTATTTAGTTTGTTTGTTACCGACACTTAAATTTACAGCAATCCCTCACCGCATAACCGATTTCTAAACAGAGCCACGGTTTAATGCTGTTGTACTTTGAGGCATATTCGTGCAAATTTAATTTGGGTGACAAAGAAGAGAGAAATGAGCAGCTAAGTATGGAGGTAGAAAGGAGACACAGCAGAGCGAGCCACAGCCACTGTTGCAGGAGACAAATTGCAAACAGCAGGTTCCTTCGTGCGATAGGTCAGACAACACACACTCGGACACAAACACACGTAATCACCGCAGCAGCTCCTGCATCTGTACGGCAGCAGAGCTTGAAATATTCAACATAAATGTCACCCGTATCTATTGCCATTCCTTTCCCCTCCTATTCCTGCCGACTCCCCTCCACCGTCTCCCATCCCCCACTGACAGTTTGCCATTAACAAGTTTCATTTGCACAGGAGACCAGAGAGCAGCATTAAGAGAGAGCAGTGGAGAAGCACACACACCAGGTAGTCAAGCCCTGGCTGAGAGCAGGCTGTCATGAACATCTTTCACATCACAGGTCCTGTGCTGGACCAAGATGGCCACCTCTAATAAGGCCAAAGTTACCCCTCAGTCTGCCGAAATGTCTGGGGAACATGTTTGCAGGGAGACAAGGACATCATAGAGTTGAGAGCGTGGAATCACTTCTGTAGCTGTCAGCAGTGAAATAACTTGAGACTGGGCAGGTTTAGCACTGAGGATACTCTCTGAAAAAGGTTCAGAAGAGATTTGGAGGTAAATTTTTCTTACTCCGGCTAGTCAGAGGAGAATCTTGTCCCAATTCTTCAAAAGACACCAAGACACAAATAAAAGCTCTGAGTGCTAGGATTTGTTCTCCGTTAATAAAATATTTAATGCAGTCTAAAAGGAACCCAAGACACGGTGGTCCTCAAGGATTTGGCTGAGTTGGAGATCATGCACTAGCCAGGGAAAAACAGTGTCACATCAATTTAATTTAACAGAAACAATATTCCTTGGAATACCTCAAATCCAATCCTACTTCAAAAACATGGTAGCAAAGTCTGGCTTCTGTTTATAAAATGTTTTCTAAGGAAACCCAATGGATTGCAGCAGTCCTTCTTCCTGAATGAACATGTGGTGATAGTGGAATAAAACTTATGTTTTAACAGCGTCTGGGACGGTCTGAGCTGGTTGGGTTATGCTTAATTTGCACATTTACAGGATTCAGATCATTTGTTACCACTGAGAAAAAGACTATTTCTACATCATTTAAAGCACTTCATCTGATAGAAATCTGATCTGTGCAGTGCGTCTGTGCTTATACAGCACACAAATCCAATGATGCAACATCGTATAACCAGCTAGAAAAACCACATGCTGCACTATTAATTCAAGTAGACTAAACAAACGATTGCAAGAAGGAAAATACATCTATTGATCAGAGCTCTCTCAAACAAGACAACATTTTGCCTTTTTTTTTTTAAAAGCGGAAATATGTGCCGATTCCAATTTGTTCTTGTGTTTCCTGAAAAAGAATATAGCTTTTTAAATTCAACTTCTACTTTGTTGAATGTTTAAAAAAGTAAAATCACCCCAAGTTTACCTTTTATCACTAAAAACACAAACTTGACTTAACAGTTCTAGAATGTGTTGCACTGGAGTGATAAACATATCCCATGTTTGACAGGACAACTATTAATTACTGACTCTTAATCTTGCCTGGCAGAAACTCATTACTGACTGAACACCATGGCAGTTTTTCAGACCATATGGGAACAACCATGTTCAAAACGGTGCTCTGCTCAAATGAGACCATACAAACTTTTTGGCACACATGCAAAATATGTGTAGAGAAAAAAAAAAAAAAACTGCTCATCACACTAAGCACACCATCTCCATGGTGACACAAAGTTGGCAGCATCAGGATGGGGCTAAATATTGGGCAATTATGGACAAAAGCCTTATAGAGTAAGAGAAAAATTGCTCTAAAAGCTGAGCCATGACATTAAACATACAACCTAGAGCTGCATTTGGTTTATATTAAAATATAGCCATGTGTTCAGATGGAACAGTCAAAGTCTAGACATTAATTTATTGTGTTTCTGGCAAGAAAATTCGTCTGCACAGGTGCTCTCCATCCCATAT